GAGAGAGAGAGAGAGAGAGAGAGAGAGAGAGAGAGAGAGAGAGAGAGAGAGAGAGAGAGAGAGAGAGAGAGAGAGAGAGAGAGAGAGAGAGAGAGAGAGAGAGAGAGAGAGAGAGAGAGACTGATGGAACAATGGATGGATAGTAAGATATAGGAAGCACGAGATACAACGGTATTAGAGATATAAGGACATAATAGCGCAGGAGGGACCAAAATATTTGAGAGAAAAAGGGCATAAAGGGAGCCAAAAGTTGACTGCGTGATGGAGATGTAGAAACGAAGAGGAAAGAAACAGATTCTGGGCGGCGGCGGAAAGAAGAAAATGTCAGATTTGTGAAGAAGAAGAAGGAACGATTGAGCATATACTGACACATATAGATGGAGAGAGGATTAGAGTGAGGGATTTTTTAGGAGAGGAAGGAACGTTAGCGAATGTAAAATGCATGAAAAAATTAGAAAAAATGAGACAGAATAGGAGAAGGGAAAAGGGAATGGATGAAGGAGTGAATGTTAAGTAACGAAATTGTAAACCAAGTCCCAGATTTTAGGCTGGAAGGCCGAACCGAATACAGTATTATTATTATTAATTATTTATAATAAATTGAAATTAAATAAATTGATCATTTACATTATAAGATTAGATCAATTTGTATTAATTTAATTTAATCTGTTCTTTTACTTATATACTTACTTCTTGCTAATTAATTAAATGTCATGGTAATTATTTATGTGGACATAAGCTCTAATGTGAAGAAAGTTAATTTACTTACAAATGTGCTTCCTGAGTATCAAATATATTTTTAAATTGGGATAACGATAACTGGAAAGATGTGATGAATTTGTCGAACTTTGGGAGCCGCTCTAAAGCTTGAATTTCCTGCCAGCATCGCGCGGTAATCCATTCGGATGCGGGATTTGGTAATTCCTAAAAGGGGAATCCCCGGATATATATCGATAATATGTGACAGAAATAATAAATTATACCTTTTCACCCCTACTCATGTTTCCTGAGCATGTGAAAGCATCCGTATAAGAAAGCATATTATGCAAATAGCTTGCAAAAAAAATTAGATAAAAGGACTTGTATATATTTGTGTCATGGAGATTTATTTTTGGAATTGTAAATTACTGATTTTTTAAATCACAATATAAATTAAATTTTTAATTTTAATTCCTATTAACAGCTATTTATTTCATTTTTATTAGAAAAAAATTGGAAATTAAAATATATTTTATTTCTTTAAAGCTCCTTACTTTAAATAGAGACATTAAAATAAATATAATTGTATTTTATATTTGGTTATATGTTTAAGTATTGTTAAATATATTTTGAAAGTAGAATAATGTTATATAAAATAGTCTTAAGTTTAAATAATTCTTAACTTTGAGGATTACATGAGTTTTTTCACACATATAACTCCAATATATTAATTTATTAGATTAAATTAATACGTGATTATTCATAAGGTTTTTGTTGGACGGAAAAAATTAATTGACATATTAGATAAAATAATATCTATGTACGAATTGTGCCGTTATATTTGTATATTTTTAAAACGAATAAAGTTATTAATTCTTCTTTAATAAAATAAGTTCTCAGTAACTATAAAAAGCGATTAATTTAAATTTGATTTATGTTTTACCCGTATAGGTGTAGTTGTTGTAAGAAAGTGTTGCCATTCCATCGGATCGATTGTACCATTGTCCAAAAGAATACGTGAGCAGATGAGAAAACCGAAGTGCAGTTTGTGTTTTTCGAATAAACTGCGACAGATATTCGTGAAAAGAGTGAATGTGAAATTTTTGCTGATGTCCATGATCCGTTTATTAATGTTATCTGCGAAATTAAATGATTAAACTAACAAACTTTAACTGTAAGTAATTAAATTAATATTCGGATATTTGAATATGTACCAATAATATAAGTTTTGACAAATTGTTTAAATAAAAAAATTAATATTACTTTTGCTGAAAAAAAATTAATATTAATATGCTGATCAATTTTTAATTTTAAGTTTTAATTTATATCTAGTCTACAAGAAATACTATATAAATGTTTCTATTTGCTGGTCATAAGCTTTTTATAATAAAACAAAATATTGTTAATAAAAAGTCTACTCAGCAAAGTTTGTTAAATCTATGTAGTTTCTTTACATTATACATTAGGTACGTTTGAATCAATGACACAATAGTAGAATACAAAAGCTTCACTTACTGCTTTTTTCGGTATTTGATATGCTGTTATTGAGCATAACGACGAACCATTCTAGGGAATATTGATACATGATATCGATACGCTGGAGATCGGTGATACAAAAGAATAATATTTGTGCCCGATTTGCTACTGGCATGTATAATGATCTCGTTAAATCAATGTCTGCTTGTGTAAATTCAGCGGTCTCCATTTTCATCTATAGTGAAAGATCAATTACTGTTTTATATAATAAAAGAAGAAAAATCTATTTTTTGTATTAAGCAATTTCTTTTTATTCTTTTTAACTAAACTAATAAATATATAATTTATGTACACATAATTTATTTTACATTCTATTAAAAAATGATATCTTACTTTTACTAAATTAATATTACACATATACATATATACATTTAAAATATAAAGAAAAAAGAAAATAATTTTTTATCACTAAATTTTATTCCTATAATAATAGAATATTTTATATATTTTTCTACCTTGATTTCCTCACTCTTGGCTTTCGAAGCCTCCAAGGTATAAATCAGATCAATATCATCAATTATTGATCCTTCGGATACCGTGAGTCTGTAAAGAATTTTGTCCTCAATCTCCTCCAGCTTTTGTTTCATTTCAGCACATGACACAATAATCGCGTTTCTTTCTTGTTCAAGATCAGGACGCTCTTGTACAGTGACCAGAGATAGCATCTGATCAACAAGGCCGCTATATGGGTTATATATAAAATTAGAATCAAATGCAACACAGATCAAACATCATGTTACCCAGTAATGATATTGAATAAGATAAATTTTCTGTTTTATTAAATCAGAATGAAAAAAGAAATCAAGTCTGATTAATTTTGATATATATATATTTTTTTAAAATTACAGATTTTTTTGTATGTTAATAATTCAACATTCTTTGATGTCAATACAGTTTTTCGTGAATTAGATATATTAATATCTGAAAAATAGTATAGTATGTAGGATAAAAATTCAAGAAAAGACAGTCAAATGTTCAGAAAAGTATATCCAGTTTTTTGATACCTCAAAAATATTTCTGATTAAAATTTTCCTAATTATTGTTAGATTTAGTTTGATAGTTACTTTACAATACCAAAGATATGATCGTAAAACACCAGTTCACCAAGAGCCCTCAATAATTTCATGAAATGGAGTAACAAAAATTTAATTATTTTAAAACGGCTCATTACAAAACCTCATTAAATATAAGGCAAAAATTATGGAATCTATAAAATATACGAAATAATTCACATAGATTTTTTCAAAAAATTTAAAATCTTACCCAACAGTCAGCGCGGAATTGACTATGAGCACTTTTACCGCTATATCTGGTACATAATGGGGATTAGGCAGCCTTGTGGTTAAATAAAGACGAAAATCGAAATTGTAGGGTACGATATTCTCGCCAATTTTAATACTCGGCTGTCCGGCGTGTTTGAATAATGCACGAGTCAGAATAGGATCTAGGGAAGCCTCTAGTTCAGTACTGATATTTTCAATTAAGCATGGCTTTCCGAATTGCACACAATTTTCAATGGTACTTAATAGATCTTTATCCGACATTTTTGCAATAAAAAGTCCGATTGGTTTGCACTGAAATTAAAACTTTAATTAACTGAAAGAATAGGAGAACTTTAATTAATGGCTATAATAAAAACACTAAAAAATCAGTATAACAATTGTATAGTTAAATGGATTCAAATTTTTTCAAATTTTTCAAATTAAATTCAAATTTTTAATTTTTAAAGTAATTTTCATAAATCTTTAAAAATCAAGTTAAATTACTGTTACATTGAACTCTTTAATACTAGCATAACATGCATATTATGAATAGTAATTATATCTAGGCTGTTATATATAAGAGAAATATATATAAAATGTTATATAAACAATATAAAAATTTGATATTTAAAAAATATTTAGGAATTATTTTAAAATTCAAAGTTTTTTATTTTGGATATTTCTTAAAGGTTTATTTTTCTCCAATAAGTATTTTAACATTTCTTAAAAATTAAATGCAATTAATTTTAAATTTTTTTGTAATACATATATATTTATTTATTTCTGATAGAATTATTATATATTATAAATAACAAATATTCTGATTAAATTATCTGTATCAAATAAGTGATAACTGATAAATTTATGGAGTTTCATATGAATAAAATTAAAAATATTCCAATAATGAATTCTTGTTATAATAATAATCGTCATAAATTCTTGTGCTTTTATGTGGTGTCCATATATTTTATGCAGTGTTAAGTCTATCTCATGAATATGAAATTTAATTTCTCTCTCGCTCTCTCTCTCTCTCTCTCTCTCTCTCTCTCTCTCCTTCTCTCTCTCTCTCTCTCTCTCTCTTTCTTTCGCTTTCTTTTTTATTCTTTATGTACTCTTTACATTTCAAAAGTCTTTTGTCAACAGCTGTAGAAAATTTATGGAATATAAATTTCCCAGGAAAAGGTTAAAAAAAGAGAGAAGAGAAAGAAAAGAGAGAGAGAGTGAGAGAGAATTCTTACTTTTCTCTCTGTAATACTTACCATATTGCGTACCCACTTATTCGCCTGTGCTTGAGGATCAATGAAAAGGGGCCACCGCTTAGAATTCATCACGAGAACTGCATTCTCGACAGATAAGGCATCCCTGGGCAAACCACTTATGTGCCAATTTCTTATCTCTATTTGATTGCCAAGAGTTAGTATTGGATTGCAGCCTGGAGTGTGAGGAACATCTTCACTAAGAGCGTCGTACCAGGTCTCCAGGAGATTTTGGCGATAAATATCCGTGAAGGGCGTTAGGTATGCAATCGCACCTACAAGCAAGATGGAAGCTTCTGATACAAAGGAATCGTGTGAAATCAACCCTGTTCTGTTGTTAGAATAGACAAAGCTATGCGGACACTCGATTAAGCTGCTGCATGTGAAGCTTTGTCAATCTCATATGAATGGAACAGTAAACAATTGTCACTAATGAACCATACGAAGATATTGTGTTATTTCGAATCGGACTAAGATTGGAGAAAATTTGTGAGAAATATTTTTTAATATTTGACAACACTATAAAATAATTTTTAAAGTATATATAACAAGTGTATAAGAAATGAAATTATTACTTGTAATAAAAAAATTGCTACAAACAGAAATAAATATTAAAAATGTTTTCTAAATATGCTTCTAATATCTCTGTTTTGCAATTTTTTTGGTTTATCTTTGTTTACTATACATATATTATTGATATATTTTTGATATAAAATAAAAAATATAAGAATATAATTGCATATAAAGCATGCTACATATATAAAGTAAGACAAATAATTACATATAAATTTGTTAAAATAATACTTTAATTTTTTCTTTAATGATCTTTATAAGGTGATCGATCTGATATCGCACTGGTAGGTGAACGTTGTAAGCGGAATCAGATTAGTGTCACTATTCTTTGTAAGAACGGCACCTCCCAAGGTAAGAAAATTGAATTTACCAGATTGGCTGCGACTTTCTTATATAATAAATGTCGTATCAATTCTATTAAAGTGGATCATACAGAATTTGAAAAGTCCATTCTGTTAATGTACTGGTTTAGAAATTATAGTGACAGATATATTTCATAATACATCTCTAAATAAGCAGTTATTGCATTGATATTGACATGGTTTAATGTCATAATTTTATTTCTTCGACAGAAATCTATTTATTTTTAATTTATCATTATTCTGTTAATGTAAATTATGAACAGACAACTGCTTCAATTATCTGTAATATATTTCGTTTGTTGTTTTGTATGAATTAAAATATAATAATTTACTGATCTACTTTTTTAGACAGACAATTAAAAATTAAATTAAAAGGTTGTATCGTTGCGCACTGTGTATCCAAACTATTAAACTGTTTTTTCTCAATTGTATAGAAATTGTAAGTGTATAACTTATTTTATACAATGTTATTTTATTTATACAATAATGTATTAATGCAAGAAATTATCTTTTAAAATATATGAAAAAGTGACATTTTTTCATTTTTTGCAAGCAAAGGTGAAGCAATTGTTTAATGTTGCACACGTACCTGATGACAGAAGGATATCACCAACAGCATTTTTTAAAGATATTTTTATATTGTTCACCATTATGGTCCATCGTTTCTGTTCATCTGACAGGCCTACAATCAGTTTTAAGGCTCGTGTTATTCGTTCCTCACAAAGTTTCTTCTGTCTTTCTAATTCAGCTTTCTTTGCTTCCTCTGCCTTCAACTGATCCTGTAAATTATCAATGCCTTCTTGTATCTCCTGTAGTCTCGTCATAACACTTGCGAGTGATATTTCGTTTTCAGTCAGAATTTCCTCTGCTTTTGCCAAAGCTGCCATTTTAGGTGCAACTTTTTTATTTACGAAGTAATAGTTGTACATTGCGTGGATCCATAAGCACAGAGCATGGCAAGCCTTCGAAACTTGAAGTACCTTTCGATATTGTTAGGGAATAATTATATTATTATTATAATTCAAATACTAAAAAAATTATATATAATTTACCTTATATTAAATTATATTTTCTGATTAAAGTAAATTTTTAACAGATAATAATATTAAAAGTTTACTTTGAATTAAATATGTTATAATATTTTTGAAACATATATATTAGTTTCGAGTTTATTAATTATTAATATTAATATTAATATTTAAAAATTATAATTAATATATGTTGATGAAATAAATGTGTATATACATATATGTACATATATATCTATTTAAATATTATATCTAAACTTTATAAAACAAATATATTGATGCAAAAATAGTGAGACAAATATAATTTATTACTATAGAAATGTTTACTTTATCTGGTTGAAAATTGGAATTTTCTATATAATCTTTTAATTTATTGATAATTTCCTCTGTGATATCTTCCTTTTTGAAATGAGACATTGTGTGTAGAAAATAAATTGGATCTGTCAACATTTGACTTCCAGGAGTCCAATAGTCTAATATCTTCTCACCGGGAAGTTTCCCAGGAAGCTAAAAACAATCATACACTTTATAAAACTTTTGTTTATTATTAAAAACTAATTGAGAACTGTATTGTACTTTTTCATAAAAGATTAATTGAAACTATATCTGAAATTGAGATATTTTATTGAAAGCATAAAAAAGTACAAAAATATTAAAATAATATGTTGCTGTGTGAAATATGTATAAACAAATTGTAAAAATAAATAAAAAACAATTATTGGATTTAAATTTTATGATTACAATTGCGTAAATATTACAATATAAAAAATGCTCTGTTAGAATTAAAATTGTTATTTTATAAAATTTACATAATTGTGTATATGCCTGAGCAAACCTTGTTTGGTTTTATGTTATTCGCAATACACATTGCTTCAATCACTAAGAGCACTCCTACTGGCGGTCTCTTCATTGCTTTTATCTGCGTAATGTCGTTCCTACTTAATGCCTTTAAACTAGCTTCAGCAGCCTCGAGCATTGGTTTTACCTCACCTGTGTGTACATATGTAATAATATAGACATACTTAATTAAGTTTCGCTCTTAAAATCCTTTCTTAAATATTATGTGTATCAAGAGATAACATTTTGCGCCAAGTATGTTTTTCGTAAAATACATTCTTTCATGAGCAAGATATTATAGTGTATTCTATGCAAGGAAAACTTTTTTTTAGAATACATATATTTAATTTTTCTAATAAATAATTTAAATATTTTAGAATTTATAATATTTTTTTAAAATAAAATATATTTATTTTTAAATTGTTAAGAAAGATCTGGTGGTTTTTAAACATATTTATATTTTATGTGATGTAATATAAAATGCAAAAAAAAAAAAACTAAATTTAATTAGTAATAGCTTGGCTGATATTTTCACAAGTACTGCTTTACTAATGTTTTATTTTTTATATTGAAAACCAATAAAGTCTTCCCGTAATTATGTAAATTAATATATATATATATATATATATATATATATATATAATTTATCAATATATTAATATATATTTATTTATTAATGTTTTATTAATTTATTTTTTGAGAATATATAACTCTATTTGTTTATTGCATTTATAAAATAAGCCATGTGGAAATCAGATACACGATGTAATTTGTACGAACAAATTTGTACATTGTAAACGTGAGTTTTATAAACTTTGTGTTGTTTTAATTGTAAAATTCTCCGTTGAAAAATTCTGACATTTGAACCCGTGTATACAAAGCGCCATATTTTCCCGAAAGCGGAACGTCAAATTAAATAACACGTAGTACTTTCGTGATATTTTGCCACAAGAATGTTGTTTTCAATACATATATATATATATATATATATATATATATATATATATATATATATTTTTTTGCGTTCTCAATAGATTCAAACTTACTACAGGTGCTAAAATATGATGAGAGAACTGATCAATATGTATCGAGTAAAATAGTGCGGTTTACTCGACACACGCAATATTTACCTATATTATACAAATGTATAATAATTATTGAGTAGTTACTAATTAGGACGAGGTATTTAGGTATATATGTATGTAACTACATTGTAGTTGTGACTTCAATTCTCCAGAAATATTAGTTAACATAAATATTCTCTTGTTGTATTATTCTTCTTAATTTTGTAACAAATTTCTGTTACCGCATGTGCATGCACGTGTGTTGCTAAACTGCTAAAGCTTTAAACAACACAATTTATATACTGCTCTCGCGCAGTAGGGCTTTTACTATTCTTTGTAAGGATGAAACGTACTCAAATCGGTCTCTGCTTCATCCTTGATCGCTTTATTCTCTTCCTTCATTTTTGATGCCGCCGCTTCTTGTTGCATAGCCACTGTTTTAGTCTTTTCTGCTTCAATCTACAAGAAGCAGATTATAAGCTTTGTATGTTGACTACATAATACGTATTTTGTGAAAAACATAAAACAGCTATATCAAATCTTTTACATGGAAACAGTAAAGGATCTTTAGAAGCACAATCAATAAATAATAATGTTAAGCTAATAGAAGCCTAAGAGCAGGAGTACATGATTAATTAAATTGTTTTTTCCGCAAATTAACCTGAAATTATTAATTTATTATTATAAATATTTCAGGTTTGTCCATTTTTAGCAATCAGAAATGATAACTTTTTTTAATTCAGATTAACATGTAGAAAAACGATTTAATTAATATGTATTTTGTCTGATTCAGATAAAAATAAATTATAATATATCTCTATTTCTCCCTCTCTCTCTCTCTCTCTCTCTCTTTCTCTCTCTTGTTCAAAAAATTAGGTTTTTATTTAAGTTATACATTTTAATAAAAAAAAAATTTTAATGCACAAAAAATTGTTTTATTACAATAATATTTTTCTTCTCAAAGATAGAAGAGCGTCACAACATTTCCGTTTAATTATTCTTATTTTTAATTTGCGTATCATATTTTGTAGACACGTCTAGCCTCAAAATATGAAACTTACAAAGAAATCTCTCACCTACATTTTATTAAAACGTTACAAGATTTTATTTAAAGCTCTTTTAATTAATTAAATTAATTAAGTTCTAAAGAAATAATTATTCTATAAAAGCTTACAAAAGCTTTGAACAATAATAATTTTATTAATCTCTTGTTATAAGGCAATTAGTCATGTCCTTATTATAAATCTTCTGTAAAATGTTTTGTTAAGAGATTTATAAGATATCAAAGAAAATTATAAAACACAAATATGCGTCGAAAAGATTAAATCTCTCCTAGGATTAAAGATTCGTTTTAGTTATTAAAACAAATTAAATATTCTCTAATGTTTGCTAATTTCTAAGTTACATCTTTTGTAAAAGATATGAAATAAAACGTTTTTTTGAATGATGAGGATGCACTATTTGACAGAGATTAAAACGTGCTTACTGTGTCTCGAGTAATCTCATGAATCGTTCCTGCTACAGCCTCTGCTGCTTTCTCTAACTCAGGTTTCATGTGTTTCAGTATTTCCTGTATATTTTTCACTTCTGCTTCTGTGTTCGCCAATTTATTTAATCCTGCTCGAGAAAGGTATGCGTTACAAAGACTGAGTATGCTAATTTATGTAGATCAGATGAAGTAATTAATTTGCATCGTCTTGTTGTAAATGAATTGGAGGCAATGAATTTTCATTACGGGCTCATATAGTTTAAATAGATGCGTTCTCGTTTCATCGGGATGTTAATCAAGAGAAGAAAACACTAAGTTTTTAAAGGAGCGCAATTTTCCCGTTTATAGTAATTTGATATTTTCTTGTATATTTTTTATAATAGCATTGTAAATAAAATGTTTAAATAATTGGCGAATAAATGTACGATAAAAAATATTTATATCTGTCTCCCACATACAATAAATACAAATTAACGCAAAATATTAACGGAAAATCGAATATATATGAGTACATGTTTAATTGAATTAATAATGACTGAATGATTTTTTTGATATATTGTATATTCAGAATCAGTATTACATACATTGAAAATGTTACTGAAACATATATATTGCAAGAGCGTTAAGAATTGAGACATTTCATTTCCTGCCTTCAAGCACACAAATAATACTACCTGCACACAGGGCAAAATCGATATTCCAAATTTACCACGAATTACGAGCTACCGTCAGACAGTCGGCGTTAAATTTATAGACTAGAAAACTATCAGCGGTCATTTACCTTTGACCTATGAAATCCGTTCTCCGTTGTACTAACAATAAGATACTGAGAAAATAAGGAGTATATTATAAATAAAATAAGGATTTTCACGTTAACATCTCAATCAAAATATTTTAACTAAAGCCATATTATGTAAAGGAATTTTTACGATAAAAGCAATCGAATCTTTTCTATATTCTTTTTATCAACTTTTATTTATAGTTTATAATATTTTCCTTAATTGTAAAAGAATTAGAAAGTATATTATAAAATATTATGTAACCGTGAATTTTATATTACATTATTTTATACATATCAATTTTATCTTTACTCACCAGTGGAAAAACGTATCATTGAAGAACTTAGCTCATCTTTCTTTTTTTTCAGAAGGTTGCGATAATTGGACAGCAACTCCATATATGACGTAGATGTAACATAATTATGACGGTCCAGTTCCTGAAATAAATTATTTGATACAACAATTGCAATTTTAGATGTTAGCAAAATATTACTGCATATTTACCTTCAAAAAGCGATCACTAGCGTCAATCACACTGGAGTGCATGTACCGGCATATCTTTACGACAGACTGCAATGTTTTATCCGAGGTCAACTCGTCTTTTATATCCGACAGAAGATGCGTTGCTATGCTCTAAGCAAAAATATATTGCAATTTTCAACAAATCTTATTTGCGCAGTTGTTTAAACGCATCGCGCGTTTGTATAATATTTGTATTAACTTGCGAAAGCATTAACAAGTTTTGAAAGATTAATAGAACGATTCTGCGCTACATTAATTTATGTTAAACTCGTGCTCACATTTGAAAATTTAATTTACTGTAAGATTTCCGGAGCAGATCGGAAGCGGAGCTTCGAATTCGTGATGTTGCAAAGTTACTAAATGTTGCACGCTAAGATCAATTTTTACCATATTTGTGGCATTAAATGTGCATTGCTATCTTCCAGTCCATTTAAAAATATTTAAAAACTCAAGTTATTATTAAGGATCATCTGATAAAATATTTAAAAATAATCGAGATTAAGCAAAGTAAAATATTTAATTTATCTTTATTAATTAGATTTAAGAAGAAAATTATTTGATGGATTATGCCAAAATTAATAAAAATTCATTAGATTTTGTATTCAAATAGCTATAATGGTATCTTTTTAATGACATTTTTAATCATTTGTTATCTATCCATTAAAAATTTTAATTATTTTAGACTTATCAACTTATCAAAATCTGAAGTTGCTAATTAAGTGTCTATCAAGATCAAGTGTCTGTAAGATTATGATAACGATCACTAGATTGAGTTAAAATTGCTTACAAAGCTGTATTTATCGCGAGTTGGCGTTTATTTTACTTATTATTCTGTATTAAACAGCTAAATGCTCGTAGCATAAGTTGTAATTATAGTAGGATAAATATGATAATTTAAGTACAATCATGTTTATTATTTAATTTATTAGTTAATATATCTCATGGAAAATATATGTTACCGATGAAATAAAGCTTCAAATAACGCATATTTGCGATGTTTCACATTTTTACGTTTCATTGTTTTGTACATCTGTTATTTTATTTATAAAATGCCTTTTGCTAATACGAAAGTGCAAGTTAAATAAATAACATACTAGTACACTGCATTTTTCACAAGCAATACCGGAACATAAAAAAAAATATCAACGCAGTATGTTTCTCACATTATAATAAAACTTTTTAAAAATTTCTGAATGTCGACATGTTAAAACTTATAAGAATTACATTAAATATATAAATAATATTTCTAAAAAATATGCATGTTATGTAATTGATATTAGAGACAGATATAATATTGATTTTTATATTTTTACTTAAAAGAGACTTGTAATAAAGAACTGCGGAGATAGATTATATTTTTAGTTGTGTCACACTTTATTGTATTATACAAACCTGAAGCGCAGCATCCGGCCAGGGGCAAAACCAATCGATAGTACAGCAATTTACTAGCGCCGGGAATTGTCTGATACGAGCGCGAAATGTGTCTCCAATCGGGCTGGATATTGGAAATGTGATATTAGGTTAATTATATAAATTTATGATTAGAGATATAGATTAACTCGTAGATGTTTTTTATAATTAAATTTTGTAATGCAAATAGCAACATAAAAGAGTAAATTAGATGTTCTATATCAATTTGTAAATTAAACCGTTTCTGTGCTTATATATATAATACATAAGCTCATATATAATGCTTTAGAACTTTCCCATAAACATTCTTATAATAAATTATTTACTTAGTATGTTTATTTTAAATTTAATTTTGCTAATATATTCTAGATACAGAGTTTAGCAAGTCTCTTAATTTTGCTAATAAATTCTAGATATACAGTTCAGCAAATCTCTTTAAACAGTTTGTTGAAAAACTTGTTAAATCCTTTAACTGTTAAATCCTATATTCTAGATGCTTAGACTAGATGTTAGTTTAGTAAATCTTCTTATAGGTACATACTGTTTAATTATTACAGTTTCGTACATGTAATATACATATGTATATAGAATTATACATATGGTATTACTCCATTACTTCTCATTAAGCTTATTAAATAAAATGAAATAAACAAATGAAAAGTTTATTTAGATTTATTTCTTTTCGAATTGATGAATAACGAATAATATAAATTTTTGTGCAATTCCCTTTATTTTAAAACATAAAAACAAACACAAAATTATAAAAAATATAGTTTAAGAAGTAAATAATTTTGATATTTTTGATAGAAAGATCATAGAAGGGGATAAAACAAAATTTTTATGAAATTGACAATGTTGTTAATCAATCTGTCAGTCATGAGCTATTTGCGTATCCCGTGAGAAATCAATGGATATTAAATAAAGTACTGTCTATGCAAACAAATTAAGTTTGTCGATCAATAATCTATTATTTTCTTATTGAGTGTTCTGTCATTTTCATATTTTACCTATTAATATTAAATGACTTTATATGTAGTTATTTCTCCGTTGTTTTGCTAGAGAGAATATAAATAATTTCTCATATATCATGTTATCGTCAAGAAATTAACGTTACTTTTGATAAGCAGCAATATGAATTAACAAATTATTATATTTAAAAAATCATTACTTTTAACGTTTATAATTTATAAATCAATATATTTTAAATATATTTTAAATAACTGAAATGTATATGTATATATAGATGTGATGCAATATAAGATTAATAAAAACTATGTGACATTTGAACATATCAGAATCGTATCGTCATATTCGTGCAAATCTCGTGGGAGAATTTTTTATCATGGGTTTATTATTATATCGTGACAAATAATAATTCAGTTTTGCGTGACTTGATGTTATTACATATCTAACATTTTACTGAAGCTATAAGGGACAAAAGTCATGTTTTTTTACTTCTGCAAAAAACTTCCTATCGCATTAATCTCGCTATTTTATTAGAAGCACTTATATATCACGATTAACGATTTCTTTCAACTTGCAAATTGATGTAATTATTTATAGATTATAAAAGTGCGATTTGTGAAATTTATGATGGAAAGTCCGAAAGGATTATTTCAAATATTTTCAAGCGATGACAATTAAAATGACATTAAGCTTTAAATTTTTCAATGAAAGTACCTCATTGTAATGATAGTGTGTAAGTTGCTTCTGACTGCCTTCAAATAAATGGAGAAAAGGTTGCTTCTATTGATCTGTAGTCCCGCCTCTCGTGCTGGCGTTCGCATTGCTTGATATATTTTATCTATTTCATCAGGTTGATACATGTTGGGAACATCTCCGCTATTTAGGATGTTGTTTAAATCCCCCAGCATAGAGTCATTCTTTATCTACAAGAACATATAATTTCATGGAATACCTTAGAGACATGATTTATATATGAAAACAGAATTTTATGTCAGTTTGAAAAACAGTTATTATAAAGGCACTATTAAGTTATAATTAGTGTAATATAAGCATATTATAAATAATAATTTATCTCTTCAATATATCACCCTCAAAACCATATAATTATCAATATCCTAACTTTGGTTTAACTACGAAGCATAAAATATTTTTATATTTAAAGCGTTTATTTTCCAAAATTAATCTAAATAAATAAGTTTATTATATTACTATAAGTTATAATATATGTTCCTGTTATTCCCGTGTGGAGTACGTAATAAGGACTCTAGAAGGTTTCACTAATCGAATTTATTTCAGGCTGACGGCTGAGGGATTAACCTATTGCGCAGTTCTCTATATACGTGATATAATAACGTATAATATTGTATTGTAATAAGCTATAATAATCAATCGTGACAAGATTTCAATACGTTTAATATTATAATTTAATTAGAAAAAAATATCAAAATAAAAAAATTATATTATAATTACAAGAGTAAATAATTATGATATGTGATAGCGTTAAATAATATTAAATAATCAATATTGTAATAATAATATAATTTGTTAATAATATTTGTTATTTCTAAATTCAGCTTCTCTGTTATTTGCTTTAAGAAATTTTTCGTTAAAATTACAAAACTTTTCTTCAAGATCCGTTTTAATACTATTAGTTCTTTTAAAAGTTATAATGTTATTTGTTTAGAAAATACAAATAAACGCAAATGTGAATATAGAACTTTCAGAAAGTTAGAAATGTTTTATTTAAGCATACTTCAAGTTTCCTGATCTGTATTTTACCTGCATGTCAGAGAACAAAAAGACAATAGGTTGATCCTGCAATCCCGCTTTCAGTATTATGTTCTTGATGTCATCTCGCCAGTCGCGAATCGTATAAGTTTTGCTGATTTCAATTTGGTAACAATTGTATTCCTTGATGTACGATGAAAGCCTTGTCAGACTTCGACGTCCTAATAAGAATAAAAATATATTCTGCTTTGTATTCCGGTTTTTTATCAGATGCGATATAAGTTCTTATACAGAGAAAAATGTATATATAAGAAAAAAGAGATATATATAATGTAAAAATATTATTAATTATAAAACATTTTAATATTTTATTATTTTTTTATATTATTATTTCATTTTAAAGATCTAATAATTATAGCGTGCCTGATCCACTCATTCCAAGCAATAAGGCATTTCCTCCAGGTTGTCGAAGTATCCGTGTGATTCTACAAATATGACTTATTGCATCTTCAAAAAGTACTAATTGCATCGGCGATGTCGTTAAATCATTATAATCGTTTAAAACATCGAGTAGAATACGTTTCATCTATAAACACATAAGAAAGACTAACATAAAGCAATATATCTTTATTTATAATTATTGTTACAAAAAAACTGTTAAATATTCAAAAAAATCTAACTTCTAAATTAAGATTGCATTTTGAACTATATAATATTTATAAGTATTATAATATCCAGTTGGAATGGTCACACACAAATTTAAGAATATTAATTATTAAATTTTATATTAATTTTTATATAATTATGAATTAATATTTATTGCTATAGACTTATCAATTACTAGATACTATTGCAAATTGTTAACTATTACTTATTACTAAAAGTTTTACTTACAAATTATTTATATGTTATCAGTTATATTAAATACTAGTTATTAAATTAATAATATTATATGTTATTTATTTTTAAGAATAGTAAATTACTTTTTCGATATCTATTATCTGCTCATATTCTCCCGCAGGATCACAGAAGTCGCCATAAAACAACGGTTTTTCCCCGATAATATCGTCAGCGTCACAATTGAATTTATTCTTCAACATACTGCGTAAGAGCTGATCAAACCATTTTTTGTCTTCGTCATTAATTAAGCGATCGCTGAAGACTCGAATATTCTCATGATACCAAAGTAATAACAACTTTTTGCGAATCTGTGTAAAAAAAATCAATCAAATGTGATATAAGTCTTACATAATATGTATATAAAGCAATTTCCACAGAATTCTATTGACAAAATGTATGGAAATGCGAAAGACATGTTGATTTCCTGTAGATATAATCGTGGTAAACATGTATTTTTGCTTCACAATAAAGCGCACAAAGCATTCAATTTCACGACAGTGTATGAATAATAAAGTACTAAATCGGATTAAAATAATCTCTCTTTTAAAGCAATAGAATTGGAAGCAACATCCATCGTTTTATTTTACATAAAATATGGAAAGACCTGCTTTGTCACGCATGAAGCCACTTGAATAATATTTCTTTTTTCGCTTTGTCAAGCAGATTTATCCTTTTCCATCCTACATCAATTTTATAATAACGATATGTAACTGCTCGTGCAATGCCAAAAACGCCACGCATGCACGAGCCAGTGTGTCGAAAGTTTGTCTGACCATACACGTACTTTAATCACTTGCACATGTTCAGTTTTTGCACCGTTCTTTCCAATTGTATCAAAAGTCCATTATTATCTCGACAAGCGCGTTATTATTTTTTATTTAAGCATAGTACAACTAATTTTTAACTTAGAAATATAAAAAAATTATACTAACTAGTATTTTTCTTGCGTCTGCCATAAGGATGCCTTGGAACACTTTGCTCAGATCTCGAAGATTGAAGGTGTAGTGCGATTTATTGGGGATTGGTAACATTTCGCTGCGTATAATTGTAAACACTTTTAAAGTGGAGTCCACTACATCATCCAGTAGATTGTAAAGTTCTGGTGTGTTTGACAGCCACGAATCAAGAATCGTTTTAAAGATATGATACTGTAAATTATATGTAAAATCAGTTAGATCCATAAATTCATCTTTAATTTCAAATACAAGAATATCTTACATATACATATTTAATATTTAGCTTTCATAAATACATAGAATAATCTTAAATGCGTAGCATTTAAAGTTTAAATGTTTAAATAAATTTTTTAAGTAATTAAAACTGGCTTTTGGTGTTTATATGTTCTTTTTTAATTATAACGCAATTTAATTGAAATTTACTTTAACAAAATTGTGATTTAAGGATATAAGAATATTTTTGATTTTGAAAGTTAAAGAGAGACTTGCGAAGGTATAGAGTTTCTCTAAAAAATAATTAACTTTAATACCAAAGTTCAATTCAAAGTAAAGAAAAAAAACCTGGAAGGGAGACAGCCTATAATACTAACCAATGTGCCAACCATACCCTTATATTAAAATATGATTGCATTCTATTTTAATTAAAATTTACGCACCGTTTCAATTTATTGCATATAACATTAATAATAATTTTTAATTAATATCTAATGTTAGATAACACGTCTGAATATATCATAATTGAGAAAATCCTTCGCAGGAGGTATAAATGTGTTTGGCATGAATATTTAATCAGTGGCACTTAAACCGAGACCCGCCTTGTCGACCTTGGTCGAAACGTGCCCAGAAGGTCTCGCGGGTGCGTGGAGTCGGTGAGGTTGATTACGATCCCCATTATATTAACCGAGGAGGTGATTATGATAAATTATGGTCGGTACGGTCACGATTTACGACGTCTAATTACGGCTGGTATGGAGGAACAGGGCAAACAGTGTGAGCTACGGTGCCGCACGGTGTTCTGTCTTGCCTACGACTCACGATTATACGCGGCTGGGCGTGGATGTCAATTCGATGGAAGAAAACCTGACGACGTAGTGGAAGGAAACGTACGCGTCAAGTATGTGCAGTTCCGGGCGTAACAAAGATGTTGCGTCGTCGGAAACTTTCTTTCATCGAACTCTTAATTCAATGTACAAGTGACACGGTAACTAAAATCGCAAATTCCGTTATATATTACTCAACGAAATTTCTGACTCTGAAATTTCTTTGTAAAATTGTCCTACTGCTCTTGTGCTTTTCCACGTATAAAAGATGTCTTTAACAATTGATTCTATACTGATAATTTTCAGTTACTTTTTTTACTCTTGAGTAAAATACTTCTTCGTTAAGAATGTAACTTTTTTTAATATCAATCGTTATATTATCCTTTAATGTTGTAAAATACTTAAACCTTATAGTGAATTCAATTGGATGCACTCAGTGCGCACTGGTGCATATTAAAGCTGTTGTATATTGATTTAATTTTTAAACTAAAATGCAAATATCTCGATTGACAAAATGCCCAATACATATTTTATAGCACAATAAAGAATACTGAGGATTTTGTGATTTAATCCGTTTATATTAAACATACATTTTACGTTGATTTGTGTATGACGGCTTTAATGTGCATGCACCAGTGCGCGCTGAGTGCATCCAATCGAATTCGCTATTAAATTTTATATGTATATGTATGTCCGATATATTACATATATTAGATTTTAGATATATATTCGACATATATCTAAAGTGGACATTTAGAATTCAGAGAGTTTTTATCTTTTCTCTCTCTCTCTCTCTCTCTCTCTCTCTCTCTTTCATTCATATTTTTTATGCTCAAAGCGAATGTAATATAAAATCACGAAAATTTAAAAGATTACGTAACCAACACTGAGAACTTTTTTACTTTTTTTTTGACATCTACAGTTTGAAATTTTGCGTAAAAATTTTATCCAATCAAACAAGACTTTTCTCTACTCGTCAAGCTGAAAATGTAAAATTTTCGCTGAAATTATGATTTTAGCGTAAATTTCACATTTTTATTTCCAGGCAAAAATAACTGATCTCTCTTGAGAGACCGATATATGTGAGCAATTAGCGTTAACATATTTAACGTGCAGTTTTTTTTTACAAATACCGTGCAAACTCACTTGTGCATCGTTCTCCATTTCTGGGAATGCAATAATATGGAAATGCCGTAAAAGTCTGGCAGTTATTGGGTTCCTTCCCCCACCAGGAGGTCCCATAGCTGCGACGAAAGTTACGTCCTTGATCAGTCTGAAGGACCCGATTTCCGTCTTGTCATACCACCCTGGGGAAAATTTTGACTTGAATTTTTATTGTTAATCACATGCTATATTTTACCCTTTCAGAGAAGCAGGATGTAATTTTTCGTAATTAGCGTTTAACTCTCAAGGGAAACATTAATGAGAAATAAGGATTTTGAGGATTTTTTTGATTTATTGAAGCTTAACTTTTAGTAAAATAAACAGATGATAATATTATAATCATTGAGGTAATTAGATAATACATATTACTAGATTTTTATTATGGAGAATATTATGTTTATGTAATTTGTTTCATATTTTATGACTAAAATATGTTAACACTTCCCATGTGTATATTTGGAATCCACAATATTGAATTCCGCCCACATAAGAGCTCAATTCCAATGGCATGATTGCCTTGGGGACTATTATGTTCGCAGAAACAGGCTATTAAAATTCGTCGAATTCAGAATGCATTGGAGCATTTCATAACGTCAGGAATTATTATTTCGTGTGCTGTTAAATTTTTATACGCGGGTATTCTCTATTTTCTTGGATGTGTATTCTACAAAAACAGTTATTACTACGTCATTAAAACGCCATTACGTCTCCGACTGTCGTATATAATATTTTAACGATCATTTTAACGATGATTTCTTTTTAAGTAAAGCCTTTTCATGAGAGTACCTTCACAAGATCAAGAGTGAAGTTCTCATTAATTGAAGTGCTAATTTTATTTGTCTTATATCCATAACAATCTAACTACGAAGAGTCTATATATTTAAACAAAGAGTTTATAATGAAATAGGAAATACAAAATTCACGAATCTTTCGAGTACCTATTAAAAATATTTAGTTGTGTATGTTACGACATGGACATGAAAAGCTTTTTCATTGATCTTTATTCCCCCAATGTACAATTTATGGAATATTTGTAAATATTGAAATTATTTGTAAAATGTAAAATATAAAATATTGTTAATTCCTCTTTTTGTCAAAAGCTGGAAAAGTGTGAGTGCTTTCTATGTATTTTTTGTAGATGTATTGGCAGTTACACATAATCTAAAAGATTGATCGCATATTAATTTATTGCAAGTAAATATATTTGCAATCATCTTTCTGTATTTTATTTTTAATTTTTGTACTACTTCCTCATAATTGAGACATGTTCATTTAGTTCATTACTTTTTAAGTAATTCGCGTATTGACTCAGTTAATTGAGTAAGTTATTATCCGTTATTAAATCTTGTTAATTTCACTCACCGCTAAAATCCATAAATTGGCGAATTAATTCAATCGATGGTTGAGCGCCATATGTATCCAGTGCAGGCATATTCAAGTCGTCGATGAAGAAAATTTGCTTTTTCAGGATCGGCGGCCCGTAGATACCTCTACGTCGCTTGTCCAATTTTGCATCAATTAAATCCTGTGCGAAATTAGATATTAATCTCATTTCCTGTTCGAGAATATACGTAATTCGATCTTCTGCTATACCTGTGTCTCATGCGCCGTGGTTTGCGCTGAGAACGTCATAAAATTGCAAATGTATTTCTTCGGCATGTTACGTGACAGTTTTGCTGACACCGTCAAAGTCTTGCCGCTTCCGGTTGCACCCACGCAAAGTACATTTGTCTCGTTAATGAGGAGATATTCGATTAACGTCGCGCTTCGTACGTTGTCCATAGTTGGAATTATGATATCTGAAAAAACATTATTTTTCAAGAATTAATACATTTCGAATTACATAAATATGATATCTACTTATATTTTGACAAGTTATATATGAGACAAAATATTATAGATACAATAATTATAAGGCAAGATTTATAGGTAAAACTTATTAATTAATTTATTCTTTTTGCTATCTGTACAACCATACTTCATGCTTATTATAATGCTTCCGCTTTAATAACCGTTTTTTTTATCAACCGTTAAATTATTTTCCGCTATGTATTTTCTTTTATCGACAAAATATTCGTGATTAATTTCAAGTTAATTGTTTTTAAATAAAAAATTTTTAAAAATATATTTTGGCATTATTTTTTATTATTTAAATACTTTTATGACTAAATTTAAAATTACAAATTCTTTTAAAGAACAAATTAAAATAAAACTTTATTATCTATTTACATGACTAAAAACAGCATTACTGTTTGTTATTACATGAGGTAATTAATGAGCTAGTTAATTATATTTTGCATAAAGAAATAAATATAATTTTTTATCTATAATATTGCAAAAAATAAATACTTAACTTTACCTAATGAAATATTTGTAACATACCCATGTATTTTGTTTCTGGCTTTATTCTGATAGATGAAATTCCGTCCAACCATTTATACCACTTCGGTAGAATTGGCTCCTGACCCTCGATTTGATCAGTGAACCCACCATCGTGTAATCTGAATAGTACGTTCTATTACTTTTCTATGCCTATATATGTACATGTATATATACAACATTTAATTTTTTTCGTAAGACATAAAGGATTATATATTTTGCTAATTCGCATTATTCAAGAAACTACATGTGAATAAAAGCGTTCTATTCTTGTATAAAAGAAAAACATTTTTGTTAACAAAAATATAAGTTTTCTGTTATATTTATGACAAGCGAATACGTCAATAATTATTTTAAATAATATTTAGGAAAAGTATATCAGCTTAAAAATAAATTCTGTTTCTCTCAATCTACTTATATATTTCTTATCTCATTTTATATTTGTACCTATAATCGAACACAAGACCTTCTTCTGGAAATGGTATTTTATGTTTTGCATCCTTTTGTACCTTTTTCAACCAATCACTGAATATGCAACGGCTTTTGTAATCGCAAGTTGCACCTAATCCCCAAACAATGGCGAAAGCTGCCCATGGTGATATCAAATCCGCTGTAATATAAGGTATGTAATGCCATTCTCAAACAGAAATTTTGTGACTGTGTGCGATCCATAGAATTTTTAAAAACTGAATTTTTAAAAATGGTAAAAATTAGCTGATTAACTTCATTCTTTATAATAATAATAATTTGAGTAACACTATTAATGATGCGTTGATTACATCGTCTTTAGTAATTAATTTAGAAGTCTTATCGTTAGTAAAGAGAAATGTCCAAGTTCGAGTTCCGATTCCGATTTCTAATTCTGATTCTGATATATATTGCAAGCTGTTAGACAGAATTCATGAATAGAAACTGATGGTACTTGTAATAGTACATAGTCAGATTTATTGAATAACTATTAACTTGACTTTGCCGTGCACGTGCGGCAATTGCATGTCCTTAAAGCGACTTAAAACTTGTGCTATTCTGAATTTGATGTTTAGTATATTAAACTTATAATGTTTAGCAACACTCATATACAATATTACAATTAAATTGTATGTAGCTTTACATATAGTTTTTTGAAAAGCAACACTTGGTGGCGTTTTTCCTTCACGTTCGGTCATCGGTCGAATTCTGAAGTTCATTAGATTTATATAAGATTGAACAATGGCAGAATCTACGGTTCTTACGATCTCTCGTAAATTCTGACGTACAATCTTTAGACCGGGAAGCACCAGTTGAGTTGTTAACTCAATTATTTCTTCAATGTAATCCTTCATTGTCTAGAAACAGTTATTCAGATTTGCTTTACGTAACTGCATTTAAGATACATATCATTTTTGTAATAATAATACAATAACACAATAAATTAATTACAATATGCGCAAAATATATAATTATATTTGACAATTAATTCGGGAACTGGAAAATATTAGAACTATAAACATTATTAAAAATTAATTTAAAATATAAAATTTAACTTATACAACTTATAATATTATTATCTGTTAAAAAAATTAATATTTTTTTGTTTACTTTTAATGTTTTAATATATTATAAAAGAATAATGTGTGAAAGAAATATTAATTTACCGTTGGTAATGACCGTATCCAACAATCGATTAAAGGTTGTAGACCTAAATTTTCTGGTTCCATATACACCATACCACATCTATTTTAATATTAAAATAAAGAAGTACAATCTTAATAATCTTAACTAATAACTTAATTTATACAACTTGTAATTATTTTAGTTAGAAAAGTGTTTTTTTACGATATTTTATTCAATATCTCCAATCAAGCTTTCACATTATATTTATCTACATTTATTTTAATTTATATAATTACTCAACGTATTTTATCGATAATCTCATAACTAATGGTTATTTCATTCTGTCAAATAATTTCTCTAGTACTCATTAGTAATCAGAATTAATATGTATTCAAATCACGTGGAACACAAAAGCTATACTAATTCTTATTATCATTATTAAACATTAATAAGCTTTATCATCAATTCAAATTAAAACATATTTTATTAAGAAGTTATAATCTGAATATTTCAAGAATAGAAAAAAATCCTTGTGTGTGTGTTGTGTGTGGTTTTCAACAATACATATTAATTTCAGCACTTAAGAATAAAGAAGTTAAAAAGAAGTAAATATGTTTGTAGCAATATGCTGAATATATTGTTATTGATATTACTTTGTTTCTCTACTCTATAGCGATAGAAATTATTCAAAGTTTTTTATTACCTAGAAATTGTAGCTGGTGAAGCTACTCGAAGATCTGATACTTCAAATATCATAATTTGAGACGGCAATAATTTCATTATTTCCCCCGACGCGAGACAAAGCTTTTTATTGTCGTCCAGGACGGTGTTCAAATTTTCGATCCATACTGGATCGACTGGTCCATCAAAAATATACCAACGTTTATCACAATCCGCCGTTGCTATATCCGCTCGTATTAAAGTTGGCAATATTCCGTCTGTCCTACAAATCGGACGTGCGGTGCATTCAATATCTCGAATTTTGTGTCTATTTTAAAAAGTTTTTGCTCTATCGATGTTATACTTTCATACGCCCGCATATTAATAACTATAAATAGGCCGTTATATAAATATATATATTAGCTAGTTGTATATTTAATATCTCTATACATGTATTTATTAAATTAGTATCATAATTAAAGTGAGTTCGATTATTATATAAATGTATATTATCAAATATCTTATTACTTAACTTTAGCAAAAAAAGAAATTACAAAATTTCTGATAAAATTGCTGTCGATTTATTACGTCCTGCGAACTTCACGATTCCTTTTTATTTTTGCGAAAAAATTGCGATAAAATCATTTTTTAAAACACAAAGAGAACAAAAACCAAACGTGCTAACGGTTATCGATGGACGAACAGATGGTTCCGGTAATTTCTTTTTCTCTTCTTCTTTCTCTTATTACTTCTCTTTATTTTAAATAAGCATAATAGAAACGAAAATTGTGATAAATTTCTTTCGACTAGACTCAAATAAGAAAAAAAAGATAAGATGAGATTTTTACTAATTGTAAGAAATTTTGTCTGATTTATAATAATAAACTCGAAACTTCGGTGTGTGCAATAAAGATTCTTATCTCTTATGTGAAAAGTCCTACTAAGTGTAACAGATTATTTACGAGATTTACGAGATGTTGTTTAACTTAGTTTTGTTACTTTTAAATATTACTTTGAAATAAAAGAAAATTGTTGAAATATAAATTTAAATATAGTGTATGTGTGTGTATATTTCTGTAATGTAAATTTGAATGACAAATATATAAATATATATGAAATATATATTAACTTTTTCTACATATGTATATATTATAAATAGACACATACAAGAGTCATCGTTTACAAATACAAAATTTTTAAAATTTACATAATTATATATGTCGAAATCAATTCTTACTTTACATACACGTTTAATGATATTTGGAAATAACCAAGATATTTGGATATTGTTCTAAATATAAAAAAAAAAACAAGAAATGAAATTTTAATTTTAAGTTTATATTTGTGTTAAAGTATCGATCGTGAGTGCTGCAGTAGCTGTAGCTATGCGCTGTATGTGAATGCATAGTAATACTTTCAACAAATACGTACAATAAATAAATATTTAATCTTTGTCAAGTTTCAATCAATATTTGAATTAACGTTGATATAAATAGCTTTAAACATAGAAGTTAAGTAAATTTAAACAAAAGTTAATAAAAAAATTAAGTTCAGTAGGAAGTTCTTTGCAACTTTTTATATTAAATATATAGGTATCAAATTCGTCAGTATACTACTATCATAAATATACCGAATCAGTTTTATAAAATTTGCATTTTAAATTTTAATAAAAAAGATTTTGTTTTAAATAAAAAATGTTGTAGATTTAATGTCATACATCTTAAAAATTTTTAAAAATTAAGAGTTTGCAAAAAGTTGTGAGTTTAGCTCGTAATACCGAGCATTCAACAGCTAACAATAAGTTTAAATTAAAATTCTATAATTTTGCAATTTTAACTCTTTGACGTAGAACCGCCAATATGTTACTAACCATTCGTGTGTATCGGAATTATATTCGCCATACAGTTGACCCATTGTTACAGCCTTTGGATTCAACGCATATGTGATAACTGTTGTAAACGGTTTGCCATTTGGTTGTAATTGACCTTTCAAACTTGTACACGTTTGCTTTAGGACTTTGTAACACTGAAAAAAAGTCCAGACATTATTTAATAACTATTTCTGTCTCTTACTCTCAAAAGCTGTATTTTTATTCCATAAAAATATAAAACAAATGTAAAAGCATAATAAAAATTTACAGTTTGTTTAATGCATATCTGAGAAAGCTCCATTAATGTATTCTTGTCTTTGTACAGCTAAAACTAAAGCTGATGTAAGCCAAGCTTGAGCATTTGTAAACCGAAAGCATTTATCGTGAGACAAATGTCTACGTGAATCAAAACGGGTTGAATGCATGCAATCCGGAAATAGGAAGCCTCAGCAACACATTAACTACAAAATAGTTTATACTCGTTTATTATACCATAGCTATTCCAAATTCGATATGAATTGCGTTATATACAAAGTTTGCATCTCTATCTCCGCATTAAGCTTATGGTAAACTGTTCAGAAAGCAACATAATATCATATATCATACTACAATATATTATATTTCTCAAAACGAATCAGGTATAAACATGTACATGTATATGTATTTTAATATAGCAGATTTTAATTTAAGATAATTTTTAGTGTGGTATAAAATCGGAAATGTTTTCTTTCTTTTACACGTTATTTGCATAAATTTAATTCTATATTAATCTTTTTATTAAACGTATAACATGTAATACAATTTATTAATTAAATGTAGTTGTGGCGCGTGCAGAAGCTAGCCAACTGTTGTTGCTCAACAGCGGCGTAGCACTAAAATTACATTACTAACGAAGCCATCAAATTAGAAAAGTAACGCAGTAAGGGCTGATTGCAAAAATGATTGAGATCACACCATCTAAATATAAATAAAGTTGCGTACGTACGTTAGACGTACGTTAACAAATATATTGATTAAAATATTATCCTTGAGAACCAAGAGATATTAAAATAAATAGCACATTGAAATTTTTATATTTTTTTAATTTTTTCTTTATGATAACACATTATAATATTAGACTCTTAAAACATTTTTAAAACCGATAAAAGAATTTTAATTATAGATAAATATGCGACATTGCCATGTTTTTGTGAATTCAAAAATCGGAATATGAAGAGGTTGTCATTTCCATAATTTTATTTCCGGCGTGAGGATTAGTCGATAAAATCAGGATGACACATACATTTATGTGCGCTCTTCCTTTCTAAAAGAAGATTCGATAATCATTGAATATCTGTCACTTATGAATCTCAAAGTTCATTTGACGTTGTCAGCGAAGTGGATTCAATGCACTTCTCATTACCAGTTACCAAGTTTGTAAAAAATCTGCTGACGTTTATTGCTAATGCAATAATGATAACTCATTCATTATTAGATATATTTAACATTTAATAAATGTTAAATTTGATACATGTTTATATAGAAACGATTAGAAATTTGATGATATGCAGAAGATAAGTTCACTGTAGCAAGATATCTAGAATTGCGAAAAATACAGCGGTTTGATTTTATTTCAAATCCTACACCGCCAATGTCTAATTTTAGCAAGAAAAATTATTCTACAAAAAATGACATCTCTTTTTTAATTTTTTAATGTTAAATATTTTAGCTTTAAATTTAACGTGATTATAAATTAAAATTCTGTTAAATAAAAGTTGAGATTATCTACTGTTTTTTCTTAAAATTCTGTGGAATTTTATTGGTTTATAGTACAAGACCTATTGAAGTTTTCGGCAAAGCTATATTCGATAAAATATCTGCCTTGTCATTGAGCGAAGAATTTATTCAAATAGATCCTTTTCGACCCTCGTACAATAGACGTGAAAACATTTCACGTAAATGGTGGTGCAAAATTCTTTATAACTTTATAAAAAAATCCGATCTATCTCAAAATTCATTTTTTTCACGTAGAACTTATAAATTATTTTTTCCCTACACGTAGAACTTATAAATTATTTTTTCCCTACAATTTAAAACTACTTCGCACATCGAAAATCTCCCAATAATTACTTTTTCGCTTTTGCGAAGAATGCGAAGATTTGGAAGTCTCATTAAAATCAAGATGCGACGACTTCCTATTGATCTGTCTAAAGTTAAAGAGCACGATATGCCCTTCCAGCGCAATTGTCCTCTCGAAGCCGTGAGACACGTACAACGGTGCAAAACCCAACGATGCTGGCGACGTCGATGTCAGCGGCGTCCGTCGAGACGCCGGCGCCGGCAGGATCTCTACAAAGCGCATGCGGCGAAACTTTTTGGCTGGCACAGACGCGTTCGCACAGTGGTCCGCTCCCCCAGTTTACCCGACGACGTTTCTCAACGCACGACGCGTACATTTCCTACATTTTGACGGTTTTAATTAATTATAAAAATTGCGAAATTTAAATTTTTCACACGCGTGGAGTTCGGTGGAACGCGTTTAAAAACTCGGAGCCTATCTCACTAAAGCGCACATTCCACGTTAAAGCTTAACTACCGATGGGACGGAGTAATCGAAAGGTTTCTGGCTATTCCGTTTGCGTAGGATAAATTTAAATAAAAAAAAAAATGAATAAAAAAAATGCAAACTATTTTTGTCGGATTGTCGAAAATTTAGATTTCTCTTATTCAGGCTTTAAATTAACTTGATTTTATTGTATCGGTAAAACGGATAAAAAATTCTCAGTGATAAATAACGCGTACATTTCCGAGCGTTTTTTGCAATCTTCTTTCAATTTAAATAAAAATTGCAGAGTATATTGCATTTTCCAGTCACGATCAAAGTCACGGAAGAATTCAAAGATCGGATTTCTTTTGACGAGATTTTGATAGAACGTGCAATTTTAGTATCAAGAAAAAGAAATCGGTGTTTCAGCGATTAGATTAAGAGTAGACAGAAAAGAACGGGACGATCTTTTGTGGAATTTCAATCAAATCATGAAAAAATATCGACAGATAAAGTGACGGTCCTTAAATGTATATGCGATAATGCTGTGCAACACTGCAACATCAAGAGGACATATAATCTCCGCCTGTGAATTTTCTACGCGTGTGACGAACGAGAAAATGAGAAAAGACAGAATTAATAATAAAAGTGCGTATGAAAAAGTGAATGATATAAAGGATCTTATTTCCTGTGACACATGACATTAAAAGTGCCGCTGATAACATTATATCTGCTTTGCTTAAAATTAAAAGAAATATATTTTTCATTCGAGAAATATTGAGATACGTGTGCTTCGTGTGTTAAGTGGTGTCATATGAATCTATGGTTATATAATTAAATTAAACGGTAAGTCAACGTGCTGACTTAACAGTAGCTTGATAACACAATAATAATCTGAAAAACTCAAAAAGATAAAAATATATATGTTAAAAAAAATTATTTTAATATTTAATAATTGGACATTAAATTGTAAATATAACTTAAAAGAAATAACATTGTGAATATAAATCAATGTCGCAGCATCTTTTCAATATGCGTGACATCTGTCTGAAGGCGGTAGAATTGTTGAATTTTCCCAAATTACAATTGTTGAGTCAAACTGTATACTAGAGATTCGGAATCTATTCGAGTCAAGGTTGAGCGAATAACGAAGTGAGCTATGGAATAAAATCGCATTCTTGCGGAAACGTGCACGCTGTTTATCAACTCTACCGCATTTCCGCGTTTATCCCGCGATCAAATATATTACAAGCTGCAAGAACAGCTTTTTAGTGCGTTAAAGCGTTATCGATTTACAATCAATTGCACATGAAGTAGAGAAAAGAAGATAATTCAATTAAGAAATCAATTATAGAAAGCAATTAAGCGTGGTGTTAATGCGTCGCGTCCTCTTTTTCTATGTTAATGAAAACGCGAGAAATTGTATTAAACTGCGACTAAGAACCAACGATGCGCTTTTGTTCCTATTAATGTGGCACATTATGAGGATTGCATAAAAATTCTATTTGAAAAATATATTATACGAAGTACGTTTTGCATGCGTGAAGAGCCATTCATTTGCACTTAGATCCATTTCAATAGTCGCTTTTGGTGCTTTACTCTAATTGCGAGTCATCCGATGAATTTACATCTTTTTGAGTTGTAACATGAAATTAATACGGATGCGGGATTAATGCGTTAAAATTATATTTTACCGTCAAAGCGCTATCATTAACATACAATTGAATAACTTAAAGTATTATATGTTGAGCTTAATTAGCGTGAATATAAATGCGATGTGCGATTTTCGCGAAATTGAATAAAGTAGCGCACGCTTTAATGAAACAAAATGAATACGAAATTATTATACAAAATGCAAAAAATAAGTTAAATAAAAAATCAAATATGCGGTTAAACGCAAATTGAATCTATCAAGCGAAATGCATGCGCGTGAAACTGCGTTGTTCAGCTGCGTGTCGCTGCGAATGTAATTGAATTGAATGAAACTTAAAACGCAAACGACTATTATGCCACCCAAATAGACGTTTAGACAGAAAAAAAATATTCGGTGAACGAAAACGAATGTCCGAACATTTAAACGCAATCCAATCCTGCGCTCAATACCGACGGTGTCAGCAACGTTGGAAAACTTCCAACCATTACGCAGCGCGTTTGTTCACAACGGAATGCGTTCGCGTTGCAATCGAATGTGTCCGATCAAGTAGTCTCTTAGTTAAATTATGAATATTCAACTGGTAAAGGAGAAGCGGGACTAATTATAAGAATCAAGCACGGTAAACAGTGAGCAGATTGTTTTTTCGTTTTTGTAAAATGTTACTTATTCTGTACGTTTTCGGTCCTAGTTTCGAACCATCCTCAGCGAATAATAATCGTGTTAGTCGTGTATACGTTTATCGGCGATTCTCTTGGAATTCACGACGAATAAGCGTTAAAGAGGCTCCATTCGATTCCAGCCGTAACGGGAGGATTTGTTCGGATCTCATCCATCGGAAAGAGCCATATGAATCACAAGCAACGAGGTACAACTGATATTTGTTTGAAATAAACATTTTAGAGGGTCACCGTATAGACGTATACATGACTCACACGATTGTTATTTTTTAATGGTGTGGTCTGAAACTAAGAACGTACAAAATGTACAAAATGAATAACATTTTATAAAACGAAGGAACGATCTGGGCGCTGTTTACCGTGCCTGATTTTTAATTAGGTCTGCTCCTTTTTTACTCGTTGGATATTTTATATCAAACTTAATTATAAATTTTTTTGAACATTTATTGAATAAATATGTACGAAACTTCGATGCGAATTAAACGTCTAATTCTCAGTCTGAGTTTTTCTAGAATATTATAATCTATTACTTGTATTAATTGCCTGTAAATTTAGAGAAACTTTATCAATCTTTTGTTACTCATCGCTAACTGATTTTCGCAGTGTGACATTGGAGAAAGCACAGAGAATTTCTGTCGAACAATTTATTATGATGTTCATCACGCATGATTCGAATACTTAACGTAATTCTGCGTAGGACACTGTCGTTCATGTTCAACGACTATACTATCTATGACTTTGACAAGTCCCCATCAAATGCGTAGGTACACGCGTCCTTATCAACGTGAGCTATGCGTTCCGGGAAAGAACTGGGAATTCCAGTTGGATCATCATTTCGCCTGTTGCACTCTCGATTCCAGCATTCCGTACTTCGTGACCCATACTGGCCTGATCAACGATGTCGCACTAACGAATCTGGAGAATAAACAATAATACTGCAACGTGCAATTTTCGCTGATGCACTTTGTGCATCGTGACCGATTTTGCGGATTGAACAGTTTCTTGAAGCAACAAGCATCGAGGAAAGATTGTCTCGGTCAATATAATCTCACAATCGAGAGCAATCATGTTCGCGTTTCAAAAACTGTCGAGTAACACTCTGGGATGTCGCCATATACCGGCGACGATCGGCGGCCTGTCGCGATTTCGAAGATCGACGGCCTGGTCGAACGTAACGTACTACGATCATCAAAATCACAGCCTCGAAACGATTTTCGAGATAGAAGAGGAATCGGACAGCTTCTGCAACTCGCTCTACTTCCTTCTAGATTTTTGCCATATTTACTACATACCGTCTATCATCTTGTTGGGCTTGGTGGGCAACCTGTTGTCGTGCGTGGTTTTCCTCAAGACGCATCTGAAGCTACGTAGCTCCAGTTACTATTTGGCGGCGTTGGCCACCACCGATTTTAGTTTCCTCATGTCCCTGCTTCTCGTGTGGCTTAACAGTACAATCGGATGGAAAGTCTTTAACAATAACGGCTGGTGCGAAACTCTGGTGTACGTCAGCGCAGTTTGCAGTTCGCTCAGCGTTTGGCTAATTGTCGCCTTCACCGTGGAGAGATTCATCGCCGTACAGTATCCGCTGCACCGACCGCACATGTGCACCGTGGCGCGTGCAAAGACGATCATCCTAGTGCTAACAATTCTCGCCTTGGTTAGCCATTCGTACGCCTTCGTCACCGCCGGGGTAGTGAAGAACCAGGGCGGCGACGAGGTGTGCGAACTAAAGATCGAGTACCTGGAGACCATGCAGATTATTAGCATTATCGATAGTATAGCGAGTCTGATCGTGCCGCTCGTACTCATCATCGTGATGAACACCATGATTATGAGGAATCTCCTAAAGTTTAACAGGCGATTCAATCAGGAGCCCGGTTACACTGCAAATTGTCCCAACAGGGAGAAATCTGATATCAATCTCAATCAAATCCCGGTAAGTTTCCTCCCCTAAATTGTATTTTGATGTTGCTCATGCATGCAACTAATCTGTATGCTATTGGAGATGTGGGTTGTCTTTATGCCGCTTTTCTTATTACATAAAGAGATTTTATTTTATATTACGTTATTTTGTTGTGAATTCATGTTGTATATTATAATATTGTAGCTCTGTATCGTAAAAAATTTTAATCCGTCGGACACATTAATTAAAATATTTGCTTTTCTTATATGTATAATATATATATTTCTATGTTAGAAAATTATATGTCGAAAAATAAATTGTATATACTGATTTTTCCCTCAAATCTGTACAATATTTACATAAATTAAATTTTTAAAATAAATTTTTTAAATGTTAATAGACTATAAAGAGAAAAAATATAAAGAGAACAGAAATTAATTAATTTTTAGATTGAAAGATAACTTGAGGAAGATTATATGCGTAATAATTTTGCTTTATTAAAAAATATCTAATAAATATTAAAACAATAATTATGTACGAATACAGAAAACGGGCAAACTAAGAACCAGGCGCGGTAAATAATGCGCAAAAGTTGTATTTTTATTTCTATTTTACATATCTTCCAACCTTGACTGCGCGCCGACTAAATTTGTCAGACTTGAAACACAGTTCCGGTTGGAGTAGTAAAATCCCCTCTCCCCCTACACTTAATTAAATCGATTCGACTTAATTTTTTATTCTGTTTAGTCGGCGCGCAATCAAGGTTGGAAGATATGCAAAATAGAAATAAAAATAAAACTTTTGCGCATTATTTACCGCGCCTGGTTTTTAGTTAGCCCGTTTTCTATATTCGTGCGAATTTCCATTGGAATTTATATTTCGAATAATAATTATGTATATTGACATTTAAAGTTTAGCAAAACGCGCTTCGGGATGTGTTATATAATGTTTTCTTTGCTTTAAAGCTTTTATCCACTTGAGTAATGCTCACATGTCCGTATATATACGCATATATCTTTCACTTAACTGATACCGTTAAGTGTTTGTCCGTGCACGATTTATTATGACACAATTCACATCTACAACATTATATATAATATATATACACACATACATTGAATTAGTTTACAAAATAATTGAATAATATATAATTATTGTGTTCTCATCATAATTTTGGAAAATTTAACGTGTGACATTACTAAAATAGAAAAAATTTTGCGTGACTTGCACATTGTCAGAAAATATTAAGATATATGCAGATGTTATTTTTTATTATATCTTTTCCCTGGATTACTGTTGAAGATGTGAGGCCTTGAAATTCGGGATATAGCACTCGCGGTATCAGTCAAGAAGAGTGTTTCTTCCCACACACATGTGTTGTCATAAATCTCGATGAGTAAACATTGAAATATTGGGTTCCCCGCGATCGACCGCATGTATGCTGTTCGTATGAGTAGAGCATCAAGGCAAGCATATGTAATCCGAAACATCAACAGATCTGGAAATAGTTTACCTGTTTATGCGATTCCTTAAAGGCGTACGTACTGCTACTATATAGAAAAAGTAAAAAACATGTAAAGAACATGTTCACACAAATCGGTTTACAATAAAAATAAACAGGATCCGCCTTGGCTGATAATGAGGAGAAATATCATATCAATCACTCTATTATAGAATTGATAAATATGATATAGAATGTATATAATGCAAAAATAAAACTATATAATAAAATCATCGCATATCTCTTTAAAGGGAGTGGATAGACATTTAAATATCATGGTGTCAATGCCCTTTAATTCATCAAACGTGAGATTTTTTGTTATTAGGATTCGATATATTGTCGCCCCGATAAAAAGTGTGTCGACAACCATATGCTATCAGAGAAACGTGCCACCTCCGAATGCGGTTTGTCGACTATTTTGGACCGACGTATAAATACTCCCCACAGCTTACATAACCAACCGCCACCATTCATCTTTACGGATCGACGTGCGCGTGCATTGCCGCTTCCTGCTGCTCGCTGTTTATAATCGCGACTTGGTATATGTTATCGACATATCGTGAATCGCGTGGAATCTGCTTTTTGCACGGCTATTGATACCGCTATCAGTGGGTGTATAGAGAGGCGTAAACGATTGCGCGACGTATATATCTCGGGATATCGCATCTACAAATTAGAAGTTATAATCGACGCGAGAGAAACATATTCATAAAATATATTTTGAGAAATATTTATCCAAAGATAGGTTTGAGAGATATCCAGAATTTTTCTTTGCATGAGTAAAAATATGCGTGATGAAAAATATTTACCTACTACAAAAAAAATATGTTTCTTATAAAAAATATTTATATTTATGCCTCAATGTTGATTCAATCGTCGTATTCTTTTAAAATAATTTTGGAATATTCTTTCACTTTGATTATATGTAAGTTAAACTTTATAGTATGATATATAATTAAAGCTAAGATAAGTATGTTCGTGCTTTTGACTTTACATTCTGATTTTAATACTCTGCTATTAATACCATCTGTATATTTAAATTGAATTAAAGTCTGTTGTAGCAAATATACATTACATCTGTACGCGTTGTTCCATTGTTTGAATTTATCCAGAAACATCAAGAAATGAAAGCTATTTCATGTATAAAAGTTCAAAAATGATAATTAGAAACATTTTTTCCTGTAATTTAATTTTAACATAAACATTTGCATTTTTGTTCATGTTAAATGTAAAACATAGCTTGGAATTCTCGGTATGTTTAAAGAATAACAACACTCAGCTCCTCATTCGACTCATTTTAGCATACATAATTTCTGAATTTTTACTGTTAAAACAACAAACAGAGAAAAGTAGATGTGTTATTGAAGAATTTATGTGTACCATTCATTACTATTTTTCAAGCGCGTTTTGTGTACATATGATACGAAAGAAGTGGATATGGAATTATATATTATGTAATAAATAAATACGTATATAATTCAGATTCAAAACATAAATTTCGTTGCAAAAGACACTGCAAAATTATTTTGTAAGAATCTGTTTCATCCTTAGATTGTTTTTAAAACATAAAGAAATTTCCATTTGATTCCGCATATATTGATAGTCATTTATATACATTTTTGTTTAACAGATTTTCTTTTAAAGGAAAAGGAAGAATATAAGAAATATCTTGAAACATTTAATACTAACTTTTATTGCGGAACTTAGGAACTTAACGATTAGGGAATTAGAGATTCTCCGTTGCTGCTAATAAACACGTGCGAATATCGATTTCCATGTTTTGATGTTTACCTGTACGTTTCAGGTACTCAATCACATTATGAATTTCTCGACGCAATCCAGAAGATATTGAAACTATCATCTTTCATAAGATAAGGATTGAATTCTAAGTCATTTGTCACTTCGAATAAAAGTAAATAAGTTTTAAAGTCACCATTTTCTACCGGAAATTAATATTAGAAGCGGGATAAAGTTCATTTTACAGTGCGCACAGTTTTAAGGAGATAAAACGTCGTTTTATCGAGTTAGACGAGTAAAAGATTATGATGGCAATGCATACTTATTTAAAAAATGTAACATGCAAATTAATTATTGACTATATGAAAACATTAATTTTTAATTTGATTATAAGATCGATTTATATGTTTTATACGGATACTTGTTTGTAAATTTATATATTTGGAAATAAATTTATGATATTGTTTGACTATATCGTTTTGAGTAAAGATATTTTTACATTTTTATCTTATTTTTCATGTAAGTGATTGAAAATTTTTCTTATCTTATATACCCTTCGGTGTGTTCTTATTTGTGCGTTTTTATTAAAATAAAATATGACATTTTATTTATTTTAATAGAGATAAAAATCGGTTTCTTAACAATTTAATTTTTTATATTTTATGTACGCAATTTGTAAATATTAAAAAATAAATTCAATTGGCGATCTGCGTGTGTGCAATAAAAAATAATGACAAGATGGAAAAATTTTACATAATTCTATGGCCTAGTTTTAATAGAACTAATGACATATTTTGTGTTGTGTTTAAGTATATTATTTTTCTGATCAAGAGACACGATAGTGTTTCGCGCCAAGTACACGCGATACGAGACTGCACCGTGACTTTTTTACGTAAATTTTACAAAAATCATATTTGGTATGTAACATAAATTTGTACTAAGTTTGATTTAGAAAAACACAAGCAAAAAATAATTTTGTTTGTTTGTATAATACTATTTTGAGTATTTAGTTTGTATTATGCAATTTATGTTTTTCAAATTATTCTGCTTATAAGTATTTTATATTAAATTATTACATCTCTGCTTAAAAATAAAAGTTTGATTTATCTTATCTATCAAAGAAAAAAAGCACATTAATGTAAGAAAAATCAATATCAAAGACGATAAGAATATTGATCTGTAAATCGAAGAATCATCAACGAAAGAAAAGAGAAGCGATCTAAGTCGACCAAACCGAATGATCGCATTGTGATTGGCTGCATAATTATATTTTGATACAGTTTACTATTATATGCTGTTATCATTACGAACGTTTGCTTTATACAAGCAAATGTTAATGTATATTTAACATAACAACTACGAAATACGATTGATCTTGGACGTAAAATTTAATATCGTGTTGTGAATCGCGAATGCTGCGAAATGCGATACGGAGTTCAGATGCAACAATATAATAATTATTTCGTGTTTAATCTCATTTGCATTTGCATGTTACTACAGAGTTCCCATTCTTGTGTTTGTTTTAAGTGTTTGCTTATTCATAACTCCATAATCTGTAAGATTACGTGTTCTACATTATGAAACGGAATGTTAAATATCGAGCAAGATGATAAAATATAGTAGAATATGCGCATAATATTCTTCGTATCTCTAATACTTACACGCAATAAGAAAGAAAATGTTCTGGGGAAATGTCTAAACAAATCACTATTTGCAACGTTGCAAGAAAATAAATTACAGATATTTAGATGCTAAACATTATTAAGAAAGCTTTCGTCAGCAAACTTGTATTTTT